TCCATAACAAGAGCTATGACTAATAAATTACTTAGTCTTTATGTTCTGAGTCTGTATTTCAGAAAACCTGTTTCTTCCAAATAATTAAAATCTTCTTTCTAAAATACTCTGGTGTTTGCTGCTTTGCAGTGCGTAACCTTGTGCTCTTACTCAAATTGTATTTGCGCAGTGGAACTGGTAGCAGTGGGAAGCTTTCAGCTGAGTTTGGACTGGACTAGGCTTTTGCTTCTAGCTCGATTCTAATGCCACAGCACACAAAACAGCCTTGCCATGAGAGCCACCTCCATGCTGAGCACATTTTACAGTAAGTTACTGTTTAATGTAGTAAGATGTCAGAATCCAGAGCTGGCGTCAAGTGACCTGTTGGCCTAAGTGTCAGAATCTGAAAGGTGTAAAGGTCAGTGAGACTGACCTCCTGTCAAGCTCAGTAAGAGCAGGAGGACACTTGAGTGGCTTTAAAAGTTTGCACCTAGGTGATTGTTCACTATTGCTTTTTACCAATTTGCTCTGCCTAATTTCTGTTCTCTTGAGTGTACACTTCCTTAGTACTGACTGGATTACTCCACCCTGGGGCCCTTGAAAAATAATCTCCAAGGGAAGAGCAAAGTGCATTCTCATATTTTGATTTTTCTTTATATGTGTATACAGTGTCCCACATGTGAATATTGGTTAAACCTGTTTTTAAAAGACCAGTAACTCATCGTCATCTGGAGGAGTGGCAATTCAAGTGAAAGAAAAATAAACATGTAGGTAGACATTGGCTTTCTTAGCACTGCAAGCACTGCTATTATCCTAGTTAATTACTTTATCACACTGTTAAGCTGAATGTTTTGGAGTAGATGGAACTGAAATTTCAGAATCTCTGTTATGCATACCCATCAGATAGATAGATTTTCAAAATTATCTGCTGCCTTACAATTTCACCGTAACCTCACTCTAAGAGATTTAATTACAAATTCCATGCAGATATTACACAGGAACTTCTTATATTACCCTTATATAAGTTCTGAAATGTGTCTCTTCTTGTAATTCTTCCTAAAAAAAGAAAATCGAACCTACCTGTAATAACATTTATTCCTTCTGTTATAAATGAAAATTTGTCCAGCCAAATTAGTATGAAAAAGAAAATATTTATTTTGCAATCAAATTCTATCTAGCCAGCCACAAGGAAAGAACAGAGCCGAGCCCAGGGTCAGCCCTGGGTGTGCAACAAGGAGTCAGCCTCATCAGAGGTTTTCCTCCATGCCCACACACTTCTATCCTGGCACAAGTGGTTTTTATAGGGAAAATTCTGCCTGAGGCCAAGATTTCAGCAATCAGTCTTTTCTTCTATTCAGAGTCTATATGTTAATAAGATTTTCCTTTTTGGTGATGAGGGAGAACAAATCACTGTCCGGAGTTTGTTGAATCCTTGATGAAATTTACGGGAATTCAGGAACGCTGTATTCACATGTATCTGCCTGAGGATTTCCATGATATCCATCTCGGGTCCTTCACGCGAACGATCAGCACCTGGGGTTTCTGTATCTCCCCAGACATGGCCCATCTCCTGGCCAGCCGTACCTTCTTACTTGTAAATCAGTTTCCAATCTACACCCAGTCTCACCTGCGCCTGTGAGGGTGGGGGGGAATCCTAATACAAATATGTATACTCTAACAAATATTCAATATCACATATATCATATTAGAAATGGCGCGAATTATATCTACTACACATGACACTTCCTTATAGCTGCTACATTTGATTATTGCATTATTGAAAATTACTTTATTCCTTAAGTTAGTTTCTCACAAGTGACCTTCTGCAGATAACTAAAATCTGTAACATAACTCAGCACAACAGGACCTCCTTGTGCTCTTCAGTACCAGCCAAGCTTTGATGTACTGGAGGCTCAGTATGTGACAGATCCAGGACTAACAGGTGAGAGATGGCATTTCTCTTTTCTCTGATGATGTAAAGGCATCTTTTTTGTTAAAGAGCTGTATATGGTTTTGGTTAGTCTGAGGAGAGGGCAGCTTGTGGGAATGCTGCAGTTTTAGCTGTTTTGTCTAGTATCTGTACTTGTTTGGGAAGGTTATTCCAATGTACATTTTAACCACATTATGTGGCTGTGCTCTGATACTCTGTCAGAATCTTCATCTTTCATTTCATGTGTGTCTGTATTCTTGGATTTATATCTACCAGTTTCTAGGAGTGTTTTACTCTTCATGGTAGTTACCAAGTAGCTAAAAGCTCTTGGGCCCATGTTCAACAGAACTCTGTTTTTATCTTCTCATTACAGAGAGAACGACTTGCAATTCTCCTTTTAAGGGACTTGTTGAGGGGCAGTGAAGGAATTTATGGCAGGGTAAGGCTTCCCTTCCAGGCCAGTCCTCTTTTATAAAAAGTCCCCTCAGTTAGCAAAGGAAAAACAGCTGTCTGACCTCACTCAAACACAAACATGGAATTCCCACTGCACTTTGTGCTCTTCCAGAAGTGGAAGTACATCTTAAAGGGGCAATATTTTAAAGCAGGTTGAATCTATCTTTCATGTAAGATTAAATTCAGAATAAGGGCAGAACCCAGCAAAATAAAGATCCACAAACACAGCTGCAAAACTAAAATGTGAAGGTAACTTAATGCAATCAAGCTCTTTGAAAAACTTACATTAGTTAACCATGTGTGGGAAAGAAGAAAATATAAAAACCCCAACACTTAATGTGCTCGAAAATGTCTCCTTTAAAGAAAAACCCACTGATTCTGGAATTCTAATAACTTGCTGAACATGTGTTGGTTTGTTTGGTTTGGTTTTTTTTGTTTTTTTTTTTAATGATCTCTGCTATAATGATTTATAATTTTACAAAGATTTAAAGTGAACCATTGTGACACCACTTGACAGTGCATCTTGTTCCAGTCACCAGGAAGGTTAGTGCTACCCATCTATCATAAAATGCTTCAATATCACTCTTAGCAGTTAATCAAAAATCAATAAGATTCTATGATATAAAAAACATGCTGGAAGTGCCTAATTAGATAAGTTAAAAGGCCATGTTTGCACCCCATCCAATTGAAAATAAATAAATAAAATCAAGTCCTTCTTTCTTTGCCTTCTTCACCATAGCTACTTTCTCATTTAATCTACTGAAATTCAAGGGGGTTGTTTTTGGTTCTTTCAACCACAAGCTAGTATGTCCACAACAAAGAGAAGACTCATTAATGCTGCTGTAATGCAAATGACACAAATGTTACTCAAAAAATACTTTGCTACCAAAATAATTGTAAGTAAACACTGAGGTAGTACAAACTCATAAAGTTCTGTAGGAATATTCTCAAAGCTTTTTATTGTATGTCTTTTCTCACTTAAATTATATTCTCTGATTCCATTATTATAGAAGCTTTCTAAATTCAAAGGTTGAAAGAAATCAGCTTTAGACAGCCTTGTAAAAAGATTTTAAGGTTCATGGTAAAGTGCTCATCCGTTGAATAAATAGTGAAGTAAAAATCACACAGAAGCATTAAAAACTGTTTTTCAGTCAGATTATTATGAAAAACAAATTTCACAAACTTAGTCTCAATGAATTGCATGTTCAAAGAATATTAGAGTACATTATACTAGTATCCTTGCATAATTTCTGCTTTGTCCTTTGTTCAGTGAAGCTTTTTTGTTGAGATACGGGATTGTTGACCTTCAGGTTTATTTTTAAAGAAAAAACACTAGCTTAAATAATCTAAAGGTCAGGTGGTCTTCCATATACACACCAATAGCAGAAAATTATAGTGTTCTACACCTTTATAGTGACTACTGTTCATGACAAAATGTCTCATTAAAAACATGTTAGTACATGAAAATTTGGGGCTTTTTAATTGTGCAAATTATGTTTCAAGTCCTGATGGTTGGGAGAAAAATCTGAAAATGTTATGGCTTTAAATGATCTAGCAAATAAAACCTTTAAAGAACCCTTCTGTAATTTTAATAGTCTCAGGAATTTTAAGAACTTGCTTCTTGGCAATGTTCTCAGTGTTCAAAAACAACTGTATTTACTGTGCTGGGGAAGCAAAAGTAGTCACAAAAACAGCAGAAAAAAACCTGGCACCCAACTCTTAAGCAAGGGTACAAAACAAAGCCAGGTTTTGTTCTCTAATTTAGACAGCTAAAGGGCTCTTGAAAATCAACGATCCAAACTTGCCTTTCCTCTGCTGATAGGAACATACAGCAGCTCTTTGTTTCGGTATCATTACTCAAAATTTGCCCTGCTACAAGAATGTCTCCTCCAGCCTGCCCAGAGGGAAGGAGGGAGACTTTTTCATTAAACCATGGCACTTTGACCTCAACTTCTGTGCTTTGCTGCACAAAAATTGAGGTTGTGCCCTCCTGATCTGAAAGGACCTGCAGAAGGACATGGAAGCCAGGTGTAACTCAGAGCCTGCAGCCCTAGAAAAGCCATCCCCTAGCGGTGTGACACAAAATGCCACAGCTGGACCAGCCTTGCCCCAGTGGCAGACTGCACCGCAGTATTGTGTGTGTCTGTAAATGTATGTCTCTCCAGAGAGAGCAGCCTTGTTACTCACACAGCACACTTCTTCCCTTCCTGTATTTCTGAATTTTCTCTCAGTGTACAAGCACAGGTGATCCCTTGTAATGCTTGTAAGAGCAAAAATGGTGATTTACCCTCACCAGAAGTGCCAGTAAGTGCATTCAATTTCCCGTGTCTCTGCAGCATGTGTATGTTGTACGTTTGTGGCAGACTTCTGTCTAATAAAAGCTACTTGCTTTTTTCTATTCTTCCCCTGTGCTTAAAGGTACAAATTGAGGTTCATTGTAGTTAAAGTTGATAAAGAGATCAACTTATGCTGTGCCAAGTACTCACTTTACAGTACAGCACAGCAGAAATACAAATGAGAGTTACTGGAATGTTAAGCTGCATGTGCTTGAGTGATTTTTTAAATCCATTTTTCTTCCTCCCTTCCCAACATCTAAAAATTTCTAGAAATAAAGCAAAAAACACATTTCAGTGCTCACTTAAAACAGTTTCTTCCTGTGCTTTTCATTATCTTTTTCATCACCATTTTCTACCTAATCTTGAATAAAGGATCACATGAAATAATGATCTCTTCTTCAACCATATAATGTAGAGCTGTCCAGTCTACCAGACTGAGTCAAACATTACCCATCCACTTTATCTTAAGCGTAATACTTTCTGCAAATACAGCTGGTTCTTTCTTGTTTAGCACTGTAGGAATTTCAACAGCAACACTGCTCTGTTCTCTTGCTTTACTGGATGCAGAAGAAGGTGGCTGAGATAGTGCCACAAGAAAAAGTGGAGTCCTTTTCAGCTTCACTGCACAGTTGTTCATAGGCTTCTTACTCCCTAGAGCTTGGAATGGCAATTGGCTCAGTGGCCCATTGCAGCATTCTGCCTTCCACAGGGAGCCTGGGACTTGCTGAGCACTGATGTGCATGTTGTGGATGTGGTTTGAGAAGCTTCTTTGTGCAGTATCAGACTTTCACTATGGGGTCGTTTAAGAATAGCTGCAGAATGTCAGGCATTGTCAGCAACTACCTTTAGCAAAGATGAATTCTTGACTTTTATGTGGGTACTTGTTGAGGGACCTGAGAATCTAATTGGCTGGAGACCCACTTTACATGGCAAACAGCCTTCTGCTTCAGTACAGTCAATTAATAGTCTATAAAACAAAGAATTTCCATTTTAAAAAAAATGAACTATATATGTACATTGGGTTTTTTTATAACATTAATACAAAACAGACCATCTACAACAGCCTTTCACAAATAGGTTTAAATGACACTGGAAGAATCATAAATTATGGTTCCCAACAGTTCATGACTACAATCAGGGCTGCCTTTCTGTGAATAGAACCATCAATCTCTTCTGCCTCTCTTAGGTGACATTAAAAACTGTAGCAGTGAAGTGGCTGTAGGCTGGCTCAGGTGATTGTGCCAGCAAAAGGCTGCTTTTAGGTAACATGTGGAGAATGGAGGTGTAATCACAAATATTGCCATAAAACTGCAGAGAGGAAGTTTTAGAAATTCCTTCTAAAAGAATACATCTCACAGATGTGATTTAACCTTTTAAAGTTTTCACTTAAATTTCTGGTTTAGCAGTCCATTTAACAAATACTGCTCTCTAGTTTTTCAAGTTACTCCTTGCCAGCCTGCTGTGAAATCTCAGCAGCCTAAAAAAACCCGTCATTTGTTTCTAGCGAGTTCAGTTGTGCAATTAAGAGCTCTATGACGCTTTATAAAAATGTAAATTAAACCAGAGAAATCTCAACATGCATAGGTATTTAAGGAACCTGAAATTATAGAGGGGGGAAAATGGCACTGTATTTGTTAATTAATTTTACGCCACCTATGCAAATCAGCATACCTTTTATAAACTGGAGGCATGTGATGCCAACTGCCTCTCAGAGGGTGTTCTTTCAGAGTCTCACATTCAGTCAGCTCCTGAGGCACTCTCCAGTAGCTGACACTTGCATTTCGTAGCAGCATTGTACTGATGAGCTGAGAGAACACAGCCATGCATGTTTACACCTGACTAAATACATGAATACGTGTATTTTATTATGCAGAATTTCAGCTCTCAACCTGCTGACATGAGCATTGCTGACAGCCAGCATGCTGCTTCATTCATGTCAATTCCTGTCCCCTCTCTGGAACATCGCATAAAACATTTTCTTCCCTCCAAAGAGCCACTACTATTTTACAATGCTATGGAAGTTTGTGCAGAGGTTTTTATTATATTTAGTTGGCAAATATTTTTCTTATTTGTATGTTAAAAAATAGTAATACTGAAATAAAAAATTATTACTCTACCACTCCCTTCCCAGGCATCAAAAGCATCCATCATCTTTTTCATCTCAGCTACTGAGTAATAGCTCCAGATGTATTGGATGTTATTTCCAGCTTCTCTAGGATTATTGTTTTAAAGGTAACAGTTATGTGATTAGTTAGCTAAGTCAATAAAAATGTACCATTGGTGAAATACATCATTCTTTTTACCAAATCCTAACTATAAGGATTTAGCAGTAAATGTTTTACAAAGCAGAAAGGGAAATGTTACTCTGATTTTGTTTTTATTCAAAAAAGAGGTTTGAATTCTCCTGTGAATGCCTATTGCTAAATTTGGATATTCATGAAAGGATAGATTTTCATAGAAGAATAATTACGGAATTAATTATGTAAAACCTATTTTTCTAGAATACATAGTAGGAGAACAGACACCTGATATGTTGCCAAATACCCTTGGAATAAATATTAATGTTCTCATCCTAAAATTAGGAAGGTATGCATCCTAATTATAAAGATGATGAAGTATCAAGAGCTCTATCTTAATCAAAAGATGCACAGTGACACGTCTGACACTGCATTGTGAGAGTGACAAAGACCAACTGCTTCCAATTGTATGTACAGGTCTACCAATAACTTCCAATTATTGCCATGTAAATACATTAACAGTGTAGTACAGCTGTACTTGTTCTTTAAAGAATTAAAACAATTTCCTTTCATCTCTGGTTCTCAGTGTTCGGCTGTCTCAGAAGACTGCACAAAAGTATTGCATGAATCACAATCAACTGCAAGTATTTCTGGAGGTTTTTCTGTAACGGGATTTATTCACTCTATTTAGTGTAAATATCAGAAAGTCATTTTAATTGTTGTTTTAATTGTATTTTTAAAATAACAAATCAAGCAGAATAAGAACTTACAGCAACTCTATGCTAACCACCTTGTGTGTACTCTCTCAAATTCTTAACCTCCAGGCTTAGTTTTTATCTTATTTATTTGTTAAATGTGGCCATTATATTATCCAGATGCTTTGGGAGCTGCAAAGATGCCTTCCACAGATTTATAGTACAATAATGCTGCATTATGCTACATATGATAATATTTTGGCATAGTTATTATATGTTTTTATTCTCACTTCAGAGTACTTTCATGTTTGACAGTCACCTTACCTTTTGTATGTGCTTTTACTATGAATTTTCATTCCTGGCGCCTTATTAATTGCATCAACCCCATCAGCTCTTGTGGCATACACACCAATAATTTTACTTTCACAGCTTGCTCCAGAAGTGTTGATATAGAGCAGGACCAAACTGTAGGCTTGGTACAAACTAAATGGTAAGAATCTCAGGCTGTTCACTGCAACTGTGAAAGATGGTAGCAAAGTCCTGCTGTGTTATCCAAACTCCTTATGTTAAACATTTTGAGTATTTTAAACAGTTTTATGTATGCAACAAGGAATTACTATTCTTCATCCATCATCACTTTTAACTGGACCTACTTTGGCAGGATTTCTAAGTCACAAACAAGTGTGAAATTTGACCCATGAATAGTTTTATTCAAACTTTTACATCAGGCCATGGTGGTGAAAAATGCAATTTTTAACTGTCTGAAACAAAGATTAGACCCAAATCTTTTTATCTAATGAACAGTGGGAATGAGATGCCTCTGGAGATTATAGAGGTGCACAGACAGGACCCAAGAAAAATGCCAAACACTCTGCCAACTTCAATTTTAGCTATTCTTGTATTCTTACTGAAGAAGTACATTCGAAAGCCACAGTTTGGAAAGGGACATGGCACTGTATAGATGTGAGTGTTTGCAAGCACAAATACTTGTGGAATTCAGATAAACTACCTGTACATATAAAGTCGTGCATGCAGAATTGTTTTACAGCCTGGAATTAGAAGCCAACTGATGCTCAGCAGACTATATATACTATAAGAAAAGAGATATACTATAAAATGCGTAAATATGTATAAAAGCATGTATTTGCCAGAGAGCTTCATGATCAGAATGTGATATTTAGAGCTTCATCCACTTTTAAAGGAAAGCATCCACTAAACATGGAAGCCATCATGGAATTCTTAAAGCAGTACAGAGCCTCATGCCTGGCTGTGTAAACAGCCTCACACATTCAGTCATAGAATATCCCGGACATCTTCAACTTTGTCCTCTTCCATTGCATTTGCCAATGGTAATATTCATTATGAGCTATTCAAACCTAAAACAGGCACAAATAGAAGTAAAACTAATGCCAGCTACAGATTTAACATATCACATACAAGACCGAAGCAATAGCTCAGCTCTTGAACATCTGTAACAGGATACCACTTTAAAAACAGTTCTGGAGACCTAATAATGCAAATAGCCAAATATTCTGTAATAATCGATGGCGTTTTACTTTGGTAGGAAACACAAAGCTTACTCTTTCGAGCCAAATGGGCAAGCAGAGTTACGTGGTGAGGATGTATGACCAAAGGAAATCCTAAGTACAGTTCACAGCACTAAAAATGCAGCTCTTTTTGAACCAATGGCTTCTTTAAGAACCGATCTGTAATTGGGCAGCTTTAACTTCCCGGGCACTGCTCGCCCCGCCCATGGCAGGACGCTGCTCCGCCCAGGAGCGGGGAGCGCCGCGCGGCCTCGGCCCGGAGCGCGGGGGCGGCGCTCAGGCCCGGCCGGGCCGGCGCCCGCGGTGCCTGCGCGCCGCTGCTCCGCACAATGGCAGCGGGCCGGGCCGGGCCGGGCCGGGCCGGGCCGAGCGGGGACAGCAGCGGGGCAGCCCGTGCGCCCCGGCCGCGCCATCCCCTCCCGGATCCCTGCCGCGGCCAGCCGGGTGTGGGGGCCGGCGGAGCTCGGCTGCCGCTGCTCCCCGGCGCTGCCGCGGGGCTCCCTCAGGCGCCCTCCAAGTGTGGCTCACCCGCCTGCAGTCGACTGCTCTGTAAGGCACAAACCGTGCTTAATTTGGGTTTTTTTTTTAATTATAAGTGCGGGTTTACTCCGAGTATGTTTGATTCTTTTGCTGTTTCAACAGTCTCCATAGTAAGAATGTTAGAATGGTTTGGCTTGGAAGGGAACTTGGAAGATCATCTACTTCCAACCACCCCCCGCCTGGAACACGGGTGGGGCATCCACAGCTTCCCTGGGCAACCTGTTCCAGTGCCTCACCACCCTCACAGAAATTTTTTTTTTTTCCCTCTAATAGCTAATACAAACCTGTTCTCTTTCAATTTGAACTTGTTTCCTCTTGTCCTGGCACTACATGCTTGTATAAATACTATTGTTCATCTTTCCTGTAAGTTCCTTTAAGGTGCTGGAAGGCTGCAGTTGGGTCACCCCAAAGCCTTCTCTTCTCCAGACTGAGCAAACCCAATTCTCCTCAAAAGAGAGGTGCTCCATTCCTCCAGTCTCTTGGTGGCCTCCTCTGGAGTCACTCCACCAGGTCCCTGTCCCTCCTGTGCTGGTCCCCAGAGCTGGATGCAGCGTTCCAGGTGGGGTCTCAGAGCAGAGGGGCAGAATCCCCTGCCTCGCCCTGCTGCCCACGGGGCTTTGGATGCAGCCCGGGCGCGTTTGGCTTTCTGGGCTGGGAGCGCCCATTGCTGGGTCATGTCCAGCATTCCCTCCACCAGCTCCCCCCAGGTCCTTCTCTGCAGGGCTGCTCTCGATCTGAGAGCAGCTTGAGCTGACTCCTGACATGGTGGTGCTGGGTTGATGGCAGATGATCTTGAAGGTCTCTTCCAATCTTGATGATTCTGTGATTCAGTAATGCAGGCAAGATGCCTCACCCTCATACAGTCATTTAAAAAAGACATTCAGAAAGTGTCCTGCTAAATTCCATGTCTGACATAGAGTTGTGTGGTCATCAAAATGTATGCAATGAACAATAGAAAGGTAAAGAAAACAGGTTCTTGTTACACTTTTGTCTCAGCCTTATTACACAAAGCATATATATATACATATATGAAAAATATTTTTTTAAATGCAGCTGCATTTTCTTAAAAAAAAAATTGCAACATTATGTCTAGTTCCCATTTAATTCTCCTTTATTTGCTTACAAAGTTTGTTTTTTTGGCCCAATCATACAGTAAGAAATAATCCTTTTGGATACAACTTGCACATAGGAGTGCAAAAAACAGCACCAAACTCTGGATTTGTGCAGACTTTCTGGAAGGTATCAGATGATTATATGTTTAGAATATATAACATACAATATATTATATAAAATACATAATATTTTATATATCATATTTACTATAAGGTGAGATAATTAAATGTTAACACTGTATTTTTATTGCTACCTGAAGTTCAGTAAAAATCCACTTACTGAAGTGTACATTGCACATATAAGAAATGTGCCTACATTGTATTTAAATAGTTTATTCAGTTATATTTGCAATTCCTATTGAATTTCCTCTAGTATCATTCTAATTTTTTACTCCTAATTTCCTTTTGGCGGTGTTTTGTCACCAATTTAAAGTATTTAAAACTTCAGCTACAGGCTCACTTGCAAAAGACCAAACAATATGTAACACACAGCAGCCAGCTAAAGTTTCAGCTGTGTCCCTTGCTTTATTCTGGTCTGTTACTACATTTTTATTTTTGAGATTACCTAAATATTCATGGACTACTGTGTTTTCAGTTAATATTTAGGACCATAAACTTTTAATTCAGACTTTCCTTCAGTCCAATGGAGAACATTAGAGGAAAGAGCCAAATAAATAATATAAATCATCATCTGATCCTAGTACAGGGATAATAAATTCTCTTTGAAATTGTGTAACTCTGAGTGATCACTTACTACTTAAAACTCACTTCTTTTTATCTTAATGCAGATTTGCATTCAAATGGCAGTTCAGGCCATGTAGCAAAGCCATAAAGTAAACACATTTCATTTTTCTTGGCATCTAATCATGCTCCACTTGCAGCAAAGAGAAGGAATGGCATGCCAAGCACCAAGGCTCCCTGTGCTCCCTGGACAGTTCTTGACCAAGAGTGTACCCAGAAGTCAGGTTTCTGATGCTTAATATCTAATGAATTAACACAAGTTACATGTCACTGAATGCAATACAGGCTGATAATTCATGGATGTTGGATTTACTGTAAAACAAGCGAAAATAAGTATACTAGATGGGTTTTGTGGAATAATGGTATCTTGTTTAACTGTATCTTTAGTAAGGATATGTTTTTCCTTACTCACTGGGAATAGCTCATGCATACCAATTGCAACTTAAATGTGGCCATTGTTGTCAGATGTTATTGTGTAAGTACAGCTTTTGGTCTTTCTCACTCTAAAGCATTCACTTAATGAAGCTGCAGTTTTCCATGCTTCTTTTCACCTTTAAGCTGGCTTGGTTTTGCCTCAAAAGTCTGAACAATGCTCCTGTATTTCTGCATTGCGAGACCAGAATGCTATACACAGTTTCAGTCAATACACGTGCACACACACACATATAAACAAACAATGCAATAGGTTTTGGACCTTCAATTTAACCATGTGAATTACCATTACAATTCAGGATTAGTACAGCATTTACTTGGCATAGAAGTGTGCAGCACAACTAGCAAAGTGCCTTTTGAGCTGCATGTTTTGGGAAATGAACACAAGGATGTTTTTGTTTTGGTGTTTACTAGTTTCCCAATGAAGCCAGGCTTACATGCTCATCCTCTGTATATTTGTGTTTCACTTCACTAATTTCAGTCAAATTTGATGGAGAGGAAGAGGCATTATGAAATGGATTTTTTCATTAAGCTTGTGCAAGAAGTGGTGTGATTAGAGAAAGATAGGTTCTTAAAACTATAATTTCAGCAAAAGCTGTATCATGAGCTCAAATCTTGTTGGCCCTAAAAAAATCCAGAGAGAAGCTGTTCTGCATAATCTACCCACCAGAAGTGCTTTTGTCATAGATCACACTGTATTAGGCACTACAGGATTAATTCTTCTCAGACATGAATATGTATGTATCTAGTTAGGTACAAGTTCAGTTCCCACATGATTAGAGCTTTCACAAGAGTCTGTGTGTCTTTCCCTCACTACCTTTCATTTCTATTCAGTTTAAAGACCAGTCATAGGACCCCAAGTGACTGAAACTCATAATTCTGCTCTTAATATACATTTAAGATATATAGGCTGTGAAACTTGGCAGTGCTTTAAGTTCTTCCCTACTTTGAGTAGCTGGTAATTAACTGGAGATTTGTACATGTGGAGTGTTCCAGTGTGGGAGTTCCTCAGTGAAGTGTAAAGGAAAGTATGACCATAGGTGGAAATGCAATACTTCACATTTTATTTTAAATTTATTGCCCACAGTAGTGACATAAACACTAAATGGAAGCAAATTGGTGATTGCCTCTTCTAGACTTGCAGCCGTTGTGGAATTTGAGGAAATGAAAACTCATTGCTGGATCTGGAGGAAAACACTGCCTTGTGGAAAGGAGGAGGAGGTAAGTTTTATTTGACTGGTTTTCTGGTATTAAAGTTATGTAAGGTTATTTGCTCTTTTATGTGGCCAGAGTTTTATAGTGGCTACAGTCACCTCCAAGTTTCCTTGTAAGGGAAAACGTACTAAAGGTATATGATGTGTGCTGGATCAAAGCTGTATTTTAAAGGTTTTGCACCTTCAGGGCCACACTGAGAAACTCTGTCATACATCATTCACTAGAACAGGTAGAAGCGAGGGATTCTCCAGATGCTATTTAGAGCAGATTATGAAAATAGTAAGTTCATGAAGATACATTTTCACATAATGCTACTTATATTTCATGTGTGATTTCTTTGACTTACTTTATAGAATATTGTAATGTTGGCACACAGCAAAGTAAGGTTTTTGTGATGATTACTGAATTACAGAAACTGATGCTTTTTATTTCAGTCTTCTGCATCTCTGTAAATCTTAAAAAAAAAAAAAAAACATTAATTCAGCTTACTCTAAAATTTCCAATTCCTGGGATCAAATTAAGCAATTAATGTCCAGCTGAGCTAATGGTAGAACTCAGCACATGTAGCCAGTAAAAGAGAATGTATGTGAAGAGACTGTTAAAGGGCTTTTGGACTTAAAAGAGATTTTGGGGGAAAGCATTTAATAAGACTAAAGTACTTCCATGCAATTCACAATCCTAATATTACCTGAATCACATTAAAACTGGGCTTGCTCAAATTGTGTTGTCAGAAACTTCCTGTCCTTCC